TTTATAGCTTCCTGGTCATTACGTCACCCGCCCGTGACGTCTCGCCCATCTATTGGTCTGATTACACACGAGGTTCAGAGCCGGTCACGCTGAAGGGCATTCCCGAAGCGTCCTCCGACGCAGCGTCTCGTTCCCTCGAGGAACCATGGTTACATACGTAACCTGAGACGTTTCCATTGATGTATGGTTTGTTAGGATAGGACAATATTTGGCCGAGATACAACTATTCGAAAATCTGGAATCTGAGGGTGCAAAAAAAAATCTAAATATTGAGAAAATCACCTTTAAAGTTCTCCATATGAAGTCCTTAGCAATGCATATTACTAATCAAAAATTAAGTTTTGATATATTTACAGTAGGAAATTTACAAAATATCTTCATGGAACATGATCTTTCCTTAATATCCTAATGATTTTTGGCATAAAAGAAAAATCAATAATTTTGACCCAATGTATTTTTGGCTATTGCTACAAATATACCCCAGCGACTTAAGACTGGTTTTGTGGTCCAGGGTCACACACACACATATATATAAATGAAATCCATGTTTGAGACACTGCAAAAGACGGGAAATGTGATTGCAATGGTCAAAGACATCCATCTAGCAAACAGACAAAAGGGAAAAAACAGCGCAGCTGAATGAAAAATGCTTTCTGTGTGAACAGCCTCTAAAAAAGAGGTGGTTTTACAAAAATGTACACTTATATTTATATCAGTTATAAAGATTGTGATTAATCTTTCTGCATATTATTTGTTTTTCAGTTTTTCAAACCATATTTTAGAGTAAGAGAACTCAAGATGGCACGTCACAATCACCTTTAAATACATCCAGGGCTTTCTTAATGTCATCAGGGTTGAGGATGCTGTTCATCGCCATTTCTACAACTGCAAAAAGAGATGCAGAAAGAGAAAGGAAAATCAGCACTTATATACTGTAGAGTAAAAAAGCAATGCAACGTGAAACTATGCAGCTGACCAGCGCAAGACCATAAAGAGAAATAACTGATAAAAGGCCTTCAAGAATTCATAAATGATGAACTAGTGTCGAGGGGTGAGAGAATGCCTAACACCTGACGTGTGTGTGTATGTGATTCTTTTAAACCACACAACTCCGGTCCAACTCCAGATCAGAGGGGAAAACATCTTGAAGGCTTCTATATCTCACTCTATGACTCACAGGTTTAGACTATGATAGTAAGCTAATAGACTGTACTGCTCAGTTCTTTCAAGTTTCTTAAAGGGACAGTTCACCCAAAAATGGGCATTCTGTCATCTCATAACCAATTGTATATGTGCAAATTCAAATAATTAAGATTCAAAATCAATAAGATTTGAGTGAATCATTCAAGTCATATTTGGTACTGTTAAGATTCTTTTTTAGGTGTTTTTGTCATGTTTGAAGATTGACTACCCTTGGTCACCATTTACTTTCATTGTACTGTATGGAAAAGAGCAAAGTGAACCTCCTGCTAGTGCTATTTTGTTATCACTGATATACTATTACAGTGTCATTGAATGTTTCATGAATTACATTTGATATTCGTTACTTAAACTGTAATTGAAGTTGTAGTAATTTTGTTTGGGTTTTGTCATTTGTAAAAAAAAAAAAATGATTATATAGTATTTATTATGTTTTATTTATTAGTTTTTGTTTTTTTGTTTTTTTTTAGTCTTAGTTATTTTATTACTTTAACTAAACAATGCCATTGCAACTAATAAAATAATATTACGTTTTTTTTATATATATTTAATTTAATACATTAATTTAATTTTAATTTATATATTTAATATATTTAAATTTAGTTTTATTTCAACTAACAAAATGTTATTTTTTTTAAATAGTTTTACTTAAGTTTTAATTATAGATGGGGTTTACTTATAGTTTAATTAACAATAATAACCCTCCTTTGTGGTCTACAGAAAAAAGAAAGCCATTAGTGGTTTGGAGAGACATGAGGCTGAGTAAATGATGACAGAATTTTTATTTTTGGTTGAACTATCCCTTTTAGACGGATGATAAGTTACGGTCAGACTGGTGTAATCCTTCTTAAAAAGATTCTTCTTAAAAAAATTTTCCTAAAAGGTTTTTAGCAATCTTCTCTGCTTCCTTCTACTGGTTTACCTCAACTGATTGATAATACTTCACTTGCCCACAGTTAAAAACTCCTCATTGTCCTTTTCCCCATACCTTGCAGTATGGGTAATATGCAGGTGCACAGAGAAAGTACAGATTGTATTTTTTCCTTTCAGCTGGCTCCTCGTTTCATTGATCTGGACCAGGTGGAGGTCAGCTGGACAAAAAACGAGCTTCAGCTCTGCTGACTGGAATGCAGCGCAGCTGCTGACTTTCCTCAATGACGTTTGGTACAGCGAGATCTGCTCAACGAATGTGAAGGTTTAATGTGGACGCCAGCTGAGCTGGCAAAGCCAAACATGCAGCACAACTGTTTTCAATATTGTAATAATAAGAAATGTTTCTTGAGCAGCAAATCAGCATATTAGAATGATTTCTGAAGAATCATGTGACACTGAAGACTGGAGTAATGATGCTGAAAATTCAGCTTTGACGACACAGGAATAAATTACATTTAAAAACATTTAAAAATAAAAGTTATTTTAAATTGTAATAATATTTAACAATACTACTGTTTTTACTGTATTTTTGGGCAAAACAAATGCAGCCTTGATGAGCATTAGACAAAACCGATCCCAAATTTTTGAATGAAAGTGTATGTACAGTATGTACAGTATGCATAGTGCCTCCACATTGTGCTCTGAGTGGGTTTGATTACATAGGCCTAGCACTGGTGGGCTTTGTGTGGGGCTTATCAACCTACTCTAGCTCTGCTTGGACCAATCCAGAACCTGAGATCCAGATGAATAGTAAGATTACATGTGTCATTTACTATAGATGACACTTTTATACAAAGCTACTTATCCTCCACATATTACTGGGACAGTCTCTCTGATACAACCAGGGATATAAAATAACTTGTTCCCTACAATGCTGATACTTTATTGATCACTTTCTCAGGGTCTGAACCACAACCTTTCAGTTATCCTCCTAGATCTTTAGTCAATAGGCTTCCATGCCTCTTAACTCTCCTTCATTGATACCAGACAGCATGTCTACTGAAATGAGAATCTAACAATAAGATGCACTGTTCTGAGAATACTAAAGGAAGAACTGAAGGACACAAGCAGGGCTGGACATTCAGAATTGGTTCATTTCCCACAGGAAGTTGAATTGGAATCTATCTATCTATCTATCTATCTATCTATCTATCTATCTATCTATCTATCTATCTATCTATGTCTATCTATCTCTTCATCCCTCTGTCAATCTCAATAAGGCCTAAAAAAATTACCTCCAAACATCCTTAAGGCTTTTTAAAACTTTTTTTCCCACAAAATTTTTCAAAGAAGGCTATCAAGTCACCATTCAGAGTCAAATTGCAAATCAGTATCCTGTTTGCTACCTTAATTGAAATTAAAATGGAATTTAAAAAGCTTTCTCTATTCAATTCAGAATGCAGAATCCACACACATACAGCACAGTACTACACAGACATAAGCGCAGGTAAGTAAGTAAAGATGCAAGGGCTGTAACGTTACTGTACTGAGTCAAAGACTATAGAATACAGACCATGAAGCTTGAATGTTTTTCATACTTTGTTGCAAGAACGGACTGACTTTGACACCATGTGCATAAAACCCAGCAGATTAAATTACTTTCTGCAAACTGAGCAGAATGTTAAACCTGTTCCTTTCTCCTACAAAAAAATGCTTTGCTCACTCTTATAAGCCTGACAGAGACTGTTTGTGAGAACTGCCATAAGTCCACTGTGTATTTGGTGTAATGAAATGTGTTTATGCGGTTTAAGGTTCAAAAAACACATTATTTTCTACACTGTACATTATTGTTTCTCCTCTATGCCCCGCCTTTCTGACACACGTCGATTTTTACAAAGCTCATCCTTCTGAAAAGCGAGGTGTGCTCTGATTGGCCAGCTATCCAGTGCGTTGTGATTGGCCGAATACCTCAAGCGTGTGACTTGGAAGGCCAAACGAAGTAGTTTCGCTTTCACAACAAAACAGCGTCACACACCGTGGCCTTGAGTGAGCGGAGACCGGAGGCCTAGAGTGAGATTTGACGAAGGAGTGTCCGGCGGGCTTGCGGCAACCACATGTGACGACCCCGGGCTGGACTCCGCTTCGTCCACGGTGA